TTTTACCGAAGATGATATTCAGCACTTAAAATATCAATATTACAATCCCAGAAACCAGAAGAATATACGAGTATATTTTAAAGTATTTCAAATGTTCCTTTATATTCAGTGAGATGAAGAAATTTTTTCTTTTAGGGAATTAAAATATTAAAAGAATTATCTATTCTTTTTGTTTAAAAAACCTTTTAAGTGCAAGAACGCAGCATCCGAGAATTGATTAAAAACTGGTGTTCGAAAATGGGATTCAGCTATGATATCAAAACAACATGTTTGCTTGCTTTGCTAATCGTGGAAGAGAAATTTAAAATTCTTTTTCATTTATTCGTTCAAAACTGTGACCGACTCTGAATAAATTGCACTGAAAATCTTTCTGGATTGTCACAAATTTCTTATAGTTTCCTTAACCCTTTGCGGCATGGTGGGTCAATATATGTCCCACCTAATTAATATTTATTTTCTCAGTTAGCAATTTCCGTTAGAAATTTTCTAATCTTTTAAAAATAATCTATTTTAGTTATTATTTTTCTCAGTAGATGTCACTACTATACCAGGGCTTCAGTTTATAAGCAAAAACTATTCAAAATAGGATCACAAAAATGATATCCATGTATCTCGCATTTTACAATATTTTAAACATTTTGGTATACAATTTAGGATATGCATGATTCTTTTTTAATATTCAAAGGTAAATTTTATTTTCAAAAATCTTAATTGGATTCAATATTTTATAACATTAATTTTGCAGTTGAAATAAGTGGGTTAAAATTTGTCCCACCACACACTTGAATTTCCGCTCAATAGATGGCAGCACTCACGATTATTTTTTCTTTTCTTTTTTGCATCTACGTTTTTTCGTGATTGCGCGCGCTTTTACATCCGTTGTATGCTCTGATGTGCTAAAATGTCTAGAAAAAAAATTAACAACACAGGAAGCTTTGGATCTTTTTGCTGAATTGCCATCCGATTGCGACTCAAATGCTTCAGATGTCAGTTCTGATTCAGATGAAATTGAAATCCAAGAGAGAATAAATGAGGTTGAAGTTATTGCTGAAGAAGAAAGGAAAGTAGTTATAATTTGTTTCGCTTTTTAAAGACACAGACCCATCTATGCGTGTGGGCTGCCATCTATGCATGTGGCACTGTAAAATATGAATCGGAAGTATCTACCCACAAATTAAAAGAAGACAAATTTATGTCAAGAAAATATATAGACTTTTCAGTTAGATGATGATTCAATTTATTGCATAAAATGGAAGGATAAAAGATCCGTTTCTATCATCCTTGCCTCTTCTTGGAAAAGGCAACTCAAATGAAAGAAATTAATAGAAAAGAACGAGATGGAAAGAACAAAAAAAACAACAACAAAAAAAGTACTGTGTCCCAAACAGCATTATTTCATACAATAAGAATATGGGATATGTCGACTGATTTGATCAACTGAAAGGACTATATGAAATAGACCGCAAAAGCAAGAAATGATGGTGGCACAGGATTTTTTTTTTTTTTTTTTTTTACTTTTTAGAGGAGAGTATAGTAAACACATTTATTCTATTTAAGTTTGTTCGCGAACCCGATCATGATGTAAAAACAATGAAAGATTTTAGTCTCTCAGTTATAGAAGGTCTAATGGCACTTGCAGGCAAGAAAGAGCTGAAAAAAAAAACTGAAATCCCCAGTTCAAATAAAAACTAAAAAACCCGTTCGTACAACCAGAAAAGAGACTAAAAAATGTAAGTCACATGCCAAAGAGAACGAGCAGAAGAAGATGTGCATATCGCAGCACATCGAAAGAAGAACGACGAACATTTTGGATATGTGAAACATGTGAAGTGCCTCTATGCTTACAAAAAGAATGAAACAACATGTTTTTCAAAGTTTCATGAAAAATGACTGTTTTTCAGTTTTAATCATATATAAATGTTTTTGAATCAAGTGCCAATTTCAATATTTTATTTAGTATCAATTGTACGTGTATCAAATTTTAATCTTAAAATAATATTCAAGAAAATATTTTCTTTTGTTCTTAAAATTTAAAAATATTAAATATATATATGCAAAATGTGCATATTCAAAATTTTACAAGTCATGCATATATGCAATAAGTACAAAATGCATTTTAGTGTGTTTATTATGAATATTTTAGAATGCGCGTTTTATTTTGTTTATTCATTCCACATATGATTTTTTTCCCTGCTATACACCAATATGCTATAAGACATGTGCTAGTTGCATGGTGGGACAAATGGTATCCCACCTTCCCCCGTAAAAAATAAAAGCGCAGAATTTTTTTCAAGCCTTAAAGGCACTTAAGTAAGTCCATCTGACTTATTCTAAAGCATTTTTTTAAAGATTAAAATATATTTTAAATATGCGTGTCGCAAAGGGTTAAAATCTCTAGGGTATCTCTAGTAGCTCTAATATAAATGTATTGCGTAATAGTAGGAAATCTCGTAGTACTTTCGTTTTATGAATTTAATTAATCGCTGACATTTCCCTTTCGCGATTTTTATCACATATTGATATTTGGATTGATGTTCACGGCATATCATCGCTCTTTACATCAAGAATTATACATTTTACATCAAGAATTGCTCAGGTTACAATTAGTCTCGAACATTACGCATTTACTAACAAATGTGGATTAAGAGAATTCATGTGCATAGTTTTATTTTTATTTGTTATTGAGCTGAGAAAGACTGGAAGTGTTACAATGAATCTAGCGCTTTCTTATTTCAGTGCTTGCACTCTTTTGAGTTTGAAAGTGTAAGATTTAGAATACATATTGTATATGATCTGATTATATCCATTGTTAACATTAAAAGTTATATGTGAATAAATTGAATATATTTGTTGTGAATTAGATAAATTCAACCTGTTTGATGAGTATTTCTTGTGTAGACAGTATATTTAAGAGTGAGCAGTTATTAAATGCGAAATTTAACACACTAAATACAAATTAGTGAATTAAGAATTCAAATTAGTGAAGTGAATGAATGAATAAAACTTTGAATAAAATTATGCATTGGCTATTATTTTTCATATAGACTTTTTCCTATAGACTTCATCATTCAAGAGGAACATCTTTTTCATATAGACTGCAATAAAAAGAGCTGACTTCTATTTACATATATAACTGGTGTAAATATTTTTCTCATATACATAGTTTCATGTAAAGATAGCATTTCTTCTCAGCTGTGTATCACATATTTCTTTCGTCTTATTTATCACTTATTAAGTAATATTTCACATGAGTATTTTTGCGGAGTATCCAACATGTGTTTGTATTTATTTTAAATTTTTCAACCAGGTAGTGAAATCTTCCCAATTGCTTATATTTAATCTAACTTCGCAATGAAAATTTTCAGAAGAAATATGACGATGTACAGAAATTTGTACAGAAAATTGCGTGGCAAAATATTTTCAACCATCTTGCTTAAATCTTAAAGTGTGCGAAAGGTCATGTGACATGACAGAAATATTACTGGATGCTCATTGGTCCATCCTAGAAGCCACTCCCTCGGTGGCTACACAGATGTGCACTTGTGAAATATGCTAACGAGAACAAATTAATGGCTGTTCATCGCATCGCCATTCTATACATTTGCAAGAAAGTTGCAAAAATTTGATAACTCTCACGTATGTCAAACATAATTATCATGAACAAATGCTATACGAAAATTTAAATAAAAACTGAACATTCTTAGACAGGAGAGTAGATATTTCTCTGCTATGAGAATTGAAGCTCAGAGAAAGTATTTTACTTGAACCAGCATTGAAAATAATATATAGATGAAAACTCGGAACTTATAATAAATGAAATTGGAAAGGAATTTTTAATTGCTTTAATGAATCCCATAGAAAAGTTTGAAGTAGCAGACAAGAGATTCAGTGTGTAATGATAAATATATACTTCAAAAATTAAAATCTTAAAGCTGTCCAAGGAATGAATAACCTTTTTTTTTTAAAAAATTAGTAGCAACATTTCCAGAAAATCTTGGTGCAATAGTTTAGAATTAAGCATTTATATCGATGGCGTAAAGAATCAGGATAACTGTCTAGTGTTTTTGTATATTTCAGAATATGATTCAATGTCACACATGGAATTTAAGACAAATTACGCAATAGAATGATCAGCAAACACAAATTTATTACCTAAAGACAACAGCAGAAATGTTTCTGCTTAAATAATTTTCTTGTGTAAAACATTATGTTTTAAACATTCCGCAAATATATGTAATTCGTGGATACGAGCCAGTTTCCCTTAAAAAGACCTCCACTGGGCATCCCTCTCTTTCCGTGTAGTGCCTAAGGGCGGAGCACGTAAAAAGCAAATATATATATATATATATATAATAGGAAGAAATATTGTAGAGAGCTCGCTAAAAAGGTACCAGGAGCTGTGGCTACAAGAAATAGTTCAACGCAGTATTTTTTAAAAAATATTAACATGGAAGTAATTTTTTAAAAATATTAACATGGAAAGGTGAAAAAACAGCCTACACGCGAAATAAAATACAGAACAAAAAAAAATTTTAAACTAGGAGCAATATTTCTTCCTATTATTTCATATTTTTGCAGCATTTTGCGCAAAATTTTTAAGACCAAATATGTCTTACCGCACTTTACTTAGTAGCTTTTCAATTTCTATTTTAATTATATATATGTAATACTTTCTAAAGTACGTGTTTACTGAAATAGATATTGAAATGTTCACTGAACAGGTTTTATTTGATGGTATTGTCATCATTAAGTCAATAGGCAATGTAAGCACTTGTCAAAAAATAAACAAGCACATATTGCAATCCTATAATAAATTTCCACTTGCTAGAAAAAGCCGTTAAGCTAATTTTCAAATTTTCTAATGCAGTAAGCTGAAAAGCCAGTATAAAATTTTAAGAAAAGTTCTCAGAGCTAAATTTTTGCAGGATCGTATAATAATAATTATGCCTTTCAAAATTTCAGTGTGAAAAAAGTAAACATATATAAGTAAGGTCTTTTACCTGTTTGGCTCCTCTGAGTCGGAATCAGATTATGTTTCCAATGAGTTTTGCCGTCTTCTGGTCCATTGCCTTCTTTGTCTGGGCTCATTTGTTTTTCTTCTCATGTAACCAAACAAGAAAATAATGTAAAACTTATGAATCAAAAAACTAAGCGATCAAATATATGAAAATAAGCAATAGTTTAATAATACTTATGAAGCTCTTCATTACAATATGTTCTTTCAACGCAACATTTTAATACATAGGTAAATTCTGAATTAATAATACTTGTATTCTGAGAGCTCTTCTAACAATATTATTTTAATCAATAATTTCTTTTATCAGAACAAAAATAATCTAAACAATGTAGTAAATTTTAATATCTGATTTTCTGAATCTTCTGAATCATCCAAATCCCTTACCCAAACATTGAACAATGAATCTTTTAATATTTATTATGCAATATAGAAGATGTTGTCTTACCTACAATTTCTTACTTGCAGATGATGTCACTTTAACTTATATTTATTAGCGAATTATTTATTCATTTATTAAAGACTTCACAGCGATTATCATTTAAAGGCATGGCTTATTATTTGCATCTTATTTATACTCACAAAAACGTAATTACATTAGTTTTCAATTTTAAATGAAAATTTTGCTTCGTATAAAAGCGATTCCTAATTGATAAATAGCACTGAAAGAAAGGCGATCTGAAAATTATTTCCATGAAATACACTGAAAGTTTTAAGATTTTAACGAGAAACGAGGTTTTAAGATTGCATTGTACCTGATTTCAAAGTTTAGCATATTATACGTCTAAGCTGTATCTTAATTTTGAATCAAAACTCTCCAGTGATGAAATCCGAGTCTCCTATTCTTGTCAAGTTCTCGAGAGAACTTTCCAGATTATAAAACAGACAGCTGAGTTGACAGCTGAGCAGATTTAAAATTTTGTAATGTGTCGAGGTGAAAGTTTCATAAATCATAGACTTCTGCATCTTGCGCTGAATTCAAATCCACGTTCAAAGACGTGTTTGTTCACAATTAACTGCTAATCATCACAACTTTCCGGATGAATATTTACTGTTTAAACGCAAGAGAGTTTCCACTTAGAATTACCTTTACAACCATATCCGCCACTTTCCAAATAGCTTTTAAATGCTTTTCTCTTATTCAATTTCCTAAGGAACAACTTAACTGCTTATTTATACTCATTAGCTCCGATATTATGGAAACCTGAAATTATTGGAAACATGTTTTGACTTAGCGTCAAATATGAAATAGTCCATATTATGAAAAGTCACATTTATTCTTCGAATTTGATTTAAAAAACAATAAGTTAAAAACATCAGCGTTATAAAAGTTATGAATACTTTGATTAATAATTGTTCTTCGTGTTATTTTATATTAATCCTGATTAATGTTTAAAATGCTTCACAGTTCTCTATAAGCCTCTTTGGTACAGATACTTATAGCAATTTTTTATGTAACTCCTTACATTGTTACGAGTACTTTTAATACTCTTATTTGTGCTTCTCTTCTATGTTTACTGTTCTACTGTACACAAAAGTTTCATTTTATTTTATAAGAACGGTAAAGTAATGATTAAGAGCCGCGTTTTTAAATAACAAAACTTTAATTAGTATATGATATTCAGTATGTATGACGTTGCTGGTTGGAATACTTTGGCGATGAAATTTCATGAAATATGGAGACATGCTTGCATGTTAACTTATTTATTGCAATATACTTTTATTTACTACAGATAAACTTAAAAGTCATATACAATAACAAGCATTTTACCATGTAGGTAATTTGCAACTGCAAGGTCATACTAAAATCTGAAACATAAATGAATAACCGTTACGTTAGTAAATTAGTTAATTAGCTGTTAAAATTATAGAATCGAAATTTGTTGGATATTCAAGGTTAACAGAAACATTTGTGCGTATTTTATTCGAAATGGCACTTTTTTATCATTCAAGATAACAGTTCAAAGCGAAAACGAGGAGATTTAAAAAAAGCTGACAAAAATTTAAATTATTTTGTAGATTGAATGGCGTGCGAAAATGCGCAGTTGTTAGTGAAATCAAAAATTTAAATTTGAAGTTTATAGATTTATGTGTATATTCATGCTGTTATATCATACTCTCTCTCTCTCTCTATATATATATATACATACATACATATATATATATATATAATTCTCTCAAAACCTTTGTCAAAAGAAAGGGAAGTCATTGCGACATCTTAATGAAAATGTTATCAATGTTCTGCTACTTTTTAAATATTTTCTGAATTTTGAAAGTACGTGATTATGTAATTCACCTAGATATGCAACTAATGGACAAACTACAGTTTAAAAATACTTTGGTTGCTTACAAAGACATCAGAATAAATTTACGTACTTGAACAAATTAAGATACTCGTTTTAAAGCTGTTAATAAAGAATTTTCAGGAAAGGTTATACAGAAAGTTTCATTGTTAAAATACTGAGTGTTTAAATTTACCTGAGGACAAGCTCTGAGATTCATCCCGAAGGGAATTTGGCGCAGGTATACCATAGCCTTTCTTAGACGGAGAATCGCCTTTAGAAGCGTGTTCGTCCGTGGGACCTTGAATAATAAAAGCATATAAATAATAATGTTTTGAGCACACTTGAAACACTGCAGGCTAACTGAAAAATCTTTCAGCTGCCTCAAAGTGTTAGAAAATAAGGATGATTAAAAATATGTATGTGATAAATATATATAGGTAAAGGGACCGATATAAAAAGATTTTATTATGGAATGCGCGTGTTGAACGCATTAAGGTGATATAAGGGGCTGTTAGCTAAAAGCATTCCACTGGTTAAGTTGTTCTTCCCCATACAAATTTTGAGCGATATGGCATCGTTACATAAACGCTGATGCATTTTACGTACAGGAGAGGTTAAAATGAAGAGGTTACTCAAAAGAGGAAGCCGCTTTAGAGTAGCATTGTGTCTCTATTAACTCTATTGGGTATAGGAAGTACCTCTATTGAGTAGAGGAAATTTAGTACCTCATCTGAGAAGCTTTTCCGTTTCCGTCTGAAACCACTTAATAAAATAGACATTGGTAAACATCGCTTTCATCCAATAATGCGTATTTCTCGGAAACCGCATGGAAAAGTACAATTTAAACCAGAAAACGCATTTACTTGCCACTCAGCAGCAGTCTGTACTACATTAATGCATAACTTCTGAGTACATATTCCATTATAAAATCTGTTTTTTTTTGGGGAGGGGGGCTTCTTTCGATCTTGACGTTTTCGTCAGATATCTGGAATCATTAATTCTGTGTAAATGTATAATTAATGATTATCGTCATAGTTTATTGCTAATTGTATTGGAGATAAACATTGCTCATAATGATTCAAAAAAGTATACTTTGGTGACAATAAACTGCTGTTTGTACTTTTTGAAACTATCTTTAGTGTAAGACAGCAAACAATTTCGTGTTTCAGTTTGATTCTGCTTCAATGAAATTAGGAATTTGTTATAAAATACGTTTTTGAAAAGCGTTTTCAGTACGAAATTAAATCCTTTACTTGTCTCATATATAGGGTGGTGAAAAACTTTTGTTTTATAAAGCAGAAATGACTTAATATTTGCTTATAGTAGGATGTTCATATGCTGTTCTTATTTAAAAAGTTGTAAAATATTAATCGAAGAAATTTGAAAGTTTCAAGAGCTAAACATTAAAAATTCTAAGTGGTTTCAGAAAATCATATAATCGTAAATAATAAAAATAAATTAAAATATCTCCATTCCTTTATTTATCCCATGGACTAAAAGAATTCGTCATACTAATTCTGAGTTTAATTCCAAAATTCAATAAAATTATCATCGTAACAGCTTTAATATTTTAAGCATATACTTGAGTTTAAAATTTGCATGTTTCGGTAATTTGAATTTACAAATGTTTAAACTCACTAAGCGATGACTGAATTCGAAACATCACGACTTACTGACAATTACACTATGTTATCAGTGAATTTATAAGTCGTTAAACTCACTGAGTGATGACAATTTGAAACATCACGACTTACGGACAATTACACTATGTTATCATTTAATAACTAATTCAAGCTTACTAAGGCGGACTTCGTACAAATGTCAAAAACGACATTACGCTTTAAAGTTCATAATCTTTCAACTTTTCATAGTGTTTATTTTGCATGAGTTGTTGAAAACAGATCAATGTGATCGTATATATCATTTTCAGGACATTTCTTCAATACGCCTTTGAAGAGGCAACTTAAGCCGCCGGTTTTTTCTGCAGAGAGTGCTTAGGCAACGCTAATGCACCATTTGCCATTTGTTTTATATATGCTGCGGAGGAAGAACATAGTAATGCTATAGTGAATGTCTGCTTATGTATGTTGAATTTTTCGGCTCCTTTAGCGGCTTACATATGTATTATCTCTCTATATAGGATGTCTAAAAGCTGATATTACTAAGGCTTATCTAAATTCCCAGCAGAAAAACGAAAACTTATCCTCGAGCAACAGTCTTATTCCATACTGATTTTGACTTCTAACATTTTTCACCTTTAGAATATGTTTTTTAGATGTCTCAAAGGATCTGTACACTAGAATGCCTCCGTCTTTACTTGAAGATTTTAGGACCGACCATGATGACGCTAGATATATACTGCAAAATGTAGCAACTGCTGTTCAAATGATCGCATTTTCACTTTAGTTTCTATAGTTTAACATGTCTATGTATGTCCGTGTAATCCCCTTTCACAGATTTTAGATAAACAAAGGATTTTTTGGTGCTTTGTTTTTCCGGAGTCTCAGGTTTTTCCCTCTTAGTCCGTTCTATTTTTATAACAAAATTATAGCCTTTACTAGAAAAATCCTTGGTATTTCAGCTAATATATTCCTTTCATTTCAATACGAATATTTTTGCACAGATCTTTTCAGAAATTATTGTTTTCAGAAATTATTGAAAAACTATTGTTGTTGTTTTTTCTAATTTTTCTAATGAACAACTATGTATCTGTTAGAGATGATAAAATTTGATTAAAAATTAACTGTTTATTTTAATCCTCAGATTGCAACTGACAAGTTCACTTTCCTGAAAAGTACAAGTCCAGAATTTACTAATTTAGCTCCTCACAATCATTATTTGTAAAAAAAGGATCTTCCTTCCTCTTTTTCTAGTAAATCAAGTCTGCTTGTGTGAACTATATATGCTAGGAAGATTCCATTCCAGGAAATATCGTACGTGAAACTATGCAAGGCTTACGGCCTGAACGTTGCACTGAGTAATGCTTTTACACTCATGTCGTACGTGTTTAGGCAAACAGACGGTTAATTCGTTAAATGTACATTTTGTTCCTTATAAAGCAACATAATACTAAACACATTCAGAACATGTTATCAACAAATGAATGATTATAAATTTCTTTCGACACATTTCACAGTGATTTTGCTATTTTTAAAATAAGTGGCAGCATCAAAACTTATGAGTATATCGTTCGTATAACAACAGCAGTATTAACATCATCAGACCACTAAGAAGGATCTACAGAAAAGAAGGTTTGAGGCAAATTGAAGCAAAAGCCTCCAAGAAGTACGTTCAAGATGGCACGATGTAACATGCAGCTGCAATTCAGGGTTCTAGGTTGTTCCAAATTTTGATGCAAATAAACTGTAAAATCGCAAAATGACATTTGAGGGTACACTAACCCACTGTTAACAAGTTTTCATGAAAACCAAGTTTCTTCCGTTATTCAGCCAATTTTGTTAATATTCTTTAAATTATGTATTGAATAGCCTACCTTAATTAACTACATGGCTGAACATATGGCTATCAGTTTTTTCCTACTAACTAGACAATGCAGCTGAAAGCCAACATAGGTTAGTTACTCTTAAACAGGTCCAGAGGGAAAAAGAATAATTTTCCATTACGTAGAAAGCACCCTGAACATTATGAATACAATCAAAGTGCTGGCAATCTAATTGACGAAGAATGTAAGAAAGCAGTAAATCTCTGTTATTCTTAAGTTAATCAGAATCTAGAAATGAGACTAATTTCAAGATATAAAAAATTTCAACTAAAAATATATTTTGAAATTATATATTTCTTACTTTTATTTATTGTTGAAGGTCGCATAAATTCAGAAGCAAATAAAATCTTTATTGAAATGACATGCTGGCAAAATGAAATCTCATTTTGGTTTAAAACTCTTCTTTTGCATAATGTTCCATATCTGAAAATACACGCTGTATTTACTTTCTCAAAAGAAGAATACCCGATGTAAACGAATTAAAATCCATAGCTATTATTTATTTGCATTTTCAATTTAGAAGACATCGCTGACGTTTGTACACTTTATCATAAAACAACTTTACAGTATCTTCTTGTAAGGTAATTTCATTCTTTTATTTCTCTTTTCGTTACCATTAAATGAGCTAATAGATTGGCTAACCGGCAAACAGGGATCTCCTCATGTTTGCTGATATTAAAAGTTATGGCATTCCTGTAGATATATATCAGCCGCTATGATCATTTATTTGAGTGTAAACGTCAGGTAAAAGAAAATGTAATCAATTTTGATGTTTATTGTATCCTTTCTTGTTCTTTGACGTAATGAGGATAGTTCAATGTATTTTTCATTTCAGTTCATCACATAATTTATGAGCATAAATGGTAAAGAAAAATTTATCTTAAGAATTTAGAGATGAAATTTCTAAAAACCGAAAACGAAATGAATGCATATAAAAAGATGTCAGCTTGTTTTTGTACTGTAATAATACATGCCACTTGTAATATATATTTCATTATTACAGCTCGTCTTTGATACTTTCCATTATTGGTACAGCACAATGAGTGTATGAAAGTTTTCCACGTGCAAAAGTTAATGTAGTTTTAAAAGTTAGGGTTCTTATCTACGTTTCACGATTTTAACGCTTGTAAGTGGCTGCATTACTTATTAATAATGAAATATATTATTAATAATATTCTAAACAAAACATGACATTAATACTTTTCAATTCATTCCAGCAATACAAAAGGCATCTAATATTTCATTTAGAAACGGATTTACTAAAAATATTTTTATTGAAAACAATGTATTAAGAAAGGAATTGTATAGTCTTATTATATAGTACACTCGCGCTGGTGTTTATGAAGAAGAAGTCTTTAAATCGGCAGGAAAATGATTTTTGAACAGTTCCACGTAAATTTAAAAGGCTCTTACCTCTTTGCACTGGAACATAAAAATCATGTGGTTGTGTGGAATATGGCACACTTGTAGGAGGACTTATTTCTAAGAAAAGTACAAAAAGGTATAGCATTAATATATATCTGAAATATAATACATATAACTGAAAGAATAAATACACACGGTATTACAAAAATAGCCAAGCAATATTTCCTTTCATACAGCTTGTCGTGCATTTTAAAGGAATTTTTAAATTAATGTATCAGTTAAATTAATTATTACTTCTACTGTATTCAATTAATTATTAAAATGCATTAACAGTGAACGGTTAATCAGTTGCTACTATAATTTTATTGATAAGTAGTTACAATTGTTGTACGTTTAAAATTTTATTAGCAATGCAATTTAATTCGATATCGAAAAGTGAACTTTGTTTTTAGATGCAAATTTTAAAGATGAAGTTTAATAAAAATATAAAAAAATATATACAATTTTTTACATTTTAGTCATTTAAAAATACTGTCTGGAAGTATTTTTACGTGTAGTGGCATTAGGTTCATTCAAAAGTTTTAAGCGAAATACTAATTATATTACTAATGTTAGTACGAATACTAACACTATTAATTACAATATGCGATGTATATATTCTTAGTTATTATCTTGAATATACATTGTTTATTTCTATGCTATAAATCCAATTCACACAGATGAGATTCGGTTTTTAAAAGTTGAGTTTTAAAGCAAAACAGCAAACCGATTAACATAAAATTAAAATTTCCGTGCTATCTATTCTGTTTTCTAAAATATTATGTTTATTAGTGTCTGCGCTACATTGTTTTTTTTTTTTTTTTTTTTTTTTTTTTTTTTAATTTGTATGAAACTTTCCTTTCCGTGATGCTTCATTTTTCTTCCTTTTATGCTTTAAAAATACATTTTACTTAGTTCATTAGTAAATGCTGTGCTTGATGGTTTTAATACTATTGGAATTAACTGAAAAATATTAATGCCATTATGTTTTGTATAGAAAATTATTAATGATATTAAAAACGATTAACTATCGTCGTATGTTAATATTAATTATTTATATTTTATTTTAAGTCTTTTTTTGCATTAATATCGGAATGTAACTTGCCTTAATGTAATAATATTTCTAAGCTATATACTATCCAGTTTTGAAAATACGCTAACTAAGAAAGCATACATTAAATTATATTATTTCATCGCCCCATCTATACACTCTATAATATAAAAGGCGACGCACCAAGAAGGAGTTATCCGAATGGGACGAAATTGCGTATGCCTTACCATACAATAACCTATGCAAACGATTCATTTTTGGCGGCCAATCTGAAGTAGTGCAACAGAAAGTTCGATGTGCATAAAAAAGGATATTTAAATGGTAAGGCATAACCTCCGTGCGAACGTAGGTCCATCAACCTACGTAAACTATACAAATGCCTAGCAGACGACCTCGCGAACACTATGGGCAAATGTCACCATTTGAGAATGTGCGATTGGACTAAAGAAGCAGAACAGTAAAATCGCAGGATAGCTGGGCATTTAGATCGTAGCAATGTTACCATTCAGTGATGTTGACAGGTCAGGAAAACATGAACCAAAAAGCTAGAGCTTGACCGAGAAGATTGTAAGAACAGGAACAGGGGTACCCGCTGGGCTTTCGGTTGGCCCGCATCGGATACCAGCCTAACAAGAGATTGTAAGGACAGTGATCCTCCGATCAGCGCTTGCAGTCGCTAATGCGTCTTTATTAACGATCCGAGGTGTAATTGGGACACCAGTAATTGCAATGGCCATTGGTAGGCCATTGGTAACGAAAAGGTCTGAGGTCACGGATATTATAACACCGACTGCCCCTTACCATCGCATACCGCCATGCACGTTTACAGTGGTGCCGAGCTCATTTGACCTGGGATCGCATGGACTGGAACAGAATTGTTTTCAACCATGAGTCCCATTTCGAAGTGAACGCCGATGGCCAGCGAAGACGTTTCTGGAGACGTCCAGGACAGCGCGGAGATATTCAACTGACTGTCGTCCGTCACACAGTCCGCTGTTGCCATCCGCCGCACTCTTACAGAGTGGTTGTACGTTGAGGAGATTCGATACTCCGCAGTATTGCCTTTCCTTTCACGGACCCCGAAGCTTGCATTTCAACAGGATAATTCTCGACCGCACGCTGTTTTTTATGTTATAGAATGTATTTTATATTAGTTGTTCTTGCTTCAGTTTCCCAAACTTCAACAAGAATGAAACGTATACTGATCTTTTATTTGCAGCTTTGAGTAAACACTATGTTTATACTAAATTCAGGAAATATTTCTTTGTCGATTAGCTTTTTTTTTTTTCTTTCTTTTTCTTTTTACCAAGTTTTTCTTATATGATATGTGATTCATTAGATGCTTCTGAAATGTGCAACGTTAGCTCATTGCCAATGACATTTCGTCTAATGCCGATACATGAAATTTAATGAATGTAATATTATTTAGTTTACATATAAACTGTAAATAAAATTTCTGATTTCCAATAATAAAAGAGATTTTCTTGTCGCCTATGAAGTGGCAGATTGTTTAGAATAGGAAATTGATAAGCATAAGAACAGATAGCTATTTTGAATGCATAAGGTCTTAACTTATAACAGATATTCGATTTAATAATTCAAAAAGGTGATTCATATCTGGTAAATGAAACGTTTTCAAAGTTTCGCGTTGTTAGCATTACTCTAATTCACAGAAATGCATTTTATTCCAACTAATGACTAAACTATTCCCTCAAAATAATCGACATTCTAAGTTGCTGAGCAATTAAGTTTGGCCTACACAAATAAATAATTAGTTACCACAAATAAATAATTAGGCCAATCTGCAACTGTTAAATCATAAGGAAAAGGATCAAAATTACTATCCATTAAAAATAAAAGAATTTTTTTAATCATTAAACTTAGCTTAGCTATTGATTAAAACATTTTTGTTTATTCTAGATAGATCTGCCTCAATTGTTTATTGTCAAACCTCTACCTTTGCAAAACTGAAAAATATTTTTACTTTCGTTCGAGATTTTATTATTAACAAACACATTTGCATGTTTCCCTCTTTTAACTTAATTCTTTAATTATTCAATATATCATATTTTTCTTTATCATAAGCATATGTATGAGTTTATAAATTCAAACTTTTATACACAATCATACCAATGAGTCTAACAAATCCTTCTTTGTCTCCTAAAGTATTTTTAGCAACGCATTTATAATGACCGAAATCTTTCTCATCTAAATTCTTTATCCTCAGTTGCATGTGAATTCTATAGGATTCTGCTTCTTCTATTAATTCATATTTTTTGTTGTTTAAAAGAATGACGCCGTCGTTGCGAATCCAAGATGTTAGGGGTCGAGGTGATGCTTCCAGTCGGCAACCAAGTACAACATCACTTCCAATGGCAGCTCCAACCATTTGATTGTTCACTCGTATTTTTGGTTGAACTGTTTGAAAAGAGAAAAAATAAAGTCTTTTGAAAAAAAAATTATAAAATTGTTATACTCTCATATACTAAAACTTATACTTCATACAAATTAAAAAACGAATTCCAAGAATGAACGCAAGCACATATAGAAAGAATAAATGACGAAATGTAAAATTAGCAGGATTATATGATCAAAGAATCATGATAAGTTTGTTTCTTGCGGTAATCTTATACTTTGGAGTAGTCATCTGCTCTCTCGGTTTTAAGTGCGCATAAGTGTAGTGTTATATTATTATTTTTTGCTCCTATTTTATATATCACCAAAACAGGCTAAATTAAGAATGGTAAACGATAAGGGGCGGTAATTTCCCCAAGGTAACTCCATGACACCTTGATCAGATATGTCTAAAATATTTTCTTGCAGAACTATTTTCTTGTTGAATTACCAGACCAGATACATTTAAAATGTTTTCTTGCGGCTGATTCCCTTTCAAATTAAAAGATCAAATATATCTGAAATATTTTCTTATGGAATTGTTCCCTTTTTGAACTAGAAAATTAGATATGTTTGCTTGTGAAAGTGTTTCTTGTTGAATTAGATACGTCTGGAATTTTTCCTGAGATAGATTTCTTTTTGAATTAGAAGGAGAGATATATTGAAAATATTTTCTTGTTCAGTTAGACGACCTGATATGTTTGGCATGCTTGCTTGCGGAATTTGTTTCTTGTTCAATTAGAAGACCATATATGTTTCAAATGTTTTCTGGAAGAATAGATTTCTTGCTGAACTAGACCAGATATATTTAAAATGTTTTCTTGCGACCTAGCCTCATTCACCAGAGATAGTCAACTAAAGTTCTGCGAGCAGCAGATAATTAAACAAAATTTACATTTATTAACCAAATTTCCAAATTCGTGTATATTTTCATACTTCTGACGATTACATAGGAATACTTTTATATACAAATTATTTGAAACTTTTACTACAAGAATCTTGAAATAATCGGTTTATGTTAATTCAGTAAATATTCTCCTGAACACTAGCTGAATATAATATATTATGTAGTCCCGGATCGAAATACATAAATTAGCTTTCGGAGGTACAGGAACAGACCGCCATTTTGCATAATTAAAGAAAAAAAAAAAACATTTTACGCTTTACTCAGAGCAAAATAAAATTAAAGGAGTTAAATTATGCCGAATATATTTTTATATCATTAAACATTAAAGAATGCATAATTCTTTTATTTATCTTTCAGAATCAAAAGTAAGATATAAGACTATTAATATGATGGATAACATCTGTTATCACACAGTAATTGAATGCCATGGGAAAATGAGTTAGTTAACTTCGCCCTCAAATGTATCTCAACAATCACTCTATCCTACAACTGTTTTAAACTCGCGAGAACGTGCGTCGGGCCTGCGAGGCCCGGGCGTTACAAAAACGTGATACAAAAATTTCTCCCTTTGGTGAAATCCTTCGACCTTCTCAGTAGCCGCGTTTAAGGTCATGTACTTGTCTTTCAGAAGCATTTCCGGAATTTAACCCTTCATCTTTTCTCAGAAACTGAGTAACCGGGCTCCCCAGGCCCGAGGCGCGCGGTCGCATTGTCATTTATAATTGTGAAAGAGATAAGGCAGTTGCAAAAATGTCTTGCTATTTGAGTTATGACGATGAAATGAAAAGACTACAGAAACTATTAGCCGAAGTGTCGACTGATGAAGATACAATTCATGAAGAGGACGAAGAAGTAGTTGGTGAAGAACAGTTTAGTGATCACCAATCGAATTCTAAAGAGGCATTAGACTCAAGCGATGAATCTAGTAATGAATTAAGTAATTTTGCGTCCGTCTACGAATTGCTATCTTTTCAAATATAATGTGACAAAATGGAATAAAACAGAACCAAGACTTGCTGTGAAAACTCATGCTCACAACATTGTGAGAAAATTGCTAAAAATTGAGAAATTTTTGTGAAGCAAAAATTTGTGTCCTTCCCTATGAATTCTTGGCAGCTGCTTATGGATAAAATAATAGTAAAAATTCTAGTAGATTGTGCAAACATTTATATCGAATCCATTGCCGTCAAACTTGGGAGATAGAGAGATGCTCGATCCACAAATATTCAGATCAGATCCAGATCAGAGCATTTATCTGTCTTCTTTATATTGGAGGACTCCACAAGGCTTCTCCCGTAAATGTTCTCGACCTTTGGGTGACTAAAGGAACAGTGCTTGACATTTTTCATCGAACAATGTCTAACAAACCTTTTTTTATTTCTAATGAGATTTTGAGATTTGATGACATAAGAGATCGCTTCTCTAGAAGGGAAATAAATAAACTGTCTCCGATAAGATATGCCTTTGAAACGTTCGTTGAAAATTGTAAAAAAGGTTACAGTCTTGGCGTAACGGACCGAAAATCACAAATTTGCTGCGCTATGTGCGAGAAAAATGTTTGTGGTAAATACAGCACGATTATTTGCAAAAAAATTTGAAATGTAAGTTTTATTTTGAAATTATTGCTGCAAAAATTTAATATTGCACAAATTTGCTGCGCTATGTGCGAGAAAAATGTTTGTGGTAAACACAGCACGATTATTTGCAAAAAAATTTGAAATGTAAGTTTTATTTTGAAATTATTGCTGCAAAAATTTAATATTGCACAAATTTGCTGCGCTATGTGCGAGAAAAATGTTTGTGGTAAACACAGCACGATTATTTGCAAAAAAAATTGAAATGTAAGTTTTATTTTGAAATTATTGCTGCAAAAATTTAATATTGCACAAATTTGCTGCGCTATGTGCGAGAAAAATATTTGTGGTAAACACAGCACGATTATTTGCAAAAAAAAATTGAAATGTAAGTTTTATTTTGAAATTATTGCTGCAAAAATTTAATATTGCATAAATAAGTACTAAATTTCATTTGCGCTCAAAAAGAAATCAGTTTAATTTTTGTTGTTAATGATAAATAAATTCAGTCTTAAAATTGTTTTAAAATACAATTTTATTAGACTTATTAAATGAAAAATATATTTTATACACTCTTTTTTTATTATTAAATTTTTTTCTTCAATTAAACAAGCAATTTTATTTTTGTTCTTTTAAGAAAAAATCTTCGGGCCTACGGAGCCCGACGCGCGTCCTCGCGTAGTTAAAAGCAGCGCGCGTCTTCGCGGGTTAAAATAAAACACATAGGTAATCTACTTCCATATTTATACATTACTACAGAATGCATTACTGAATTGTCAAATTTCTGACAGCCTCTACAGATGTTTGTTTTGGCAGCTCAGCCAAAAATTAATGGAAAAGAGTTTACTAAATTAATGTTTGAGGATAGAATTACGATAAAATTCATTGAAGATTCCCTTTCTGTTTCATTCAGCTACAATATTTCTTGATTATCTGCGTTTGTAAAGAATAAGTTCACTTTATCTGCGTAAAATTGTTTACGTTCGATCAGGTACATGGCTAATCACAGCAGACATTCTATAGTATCAAAAGAAAGTCATGGGAAGATTCATTTCTACATAATTCAGCGAAAAAATTCAGAAAAATAAAAATATGAATTTTTATTGCCATCAAAAACTTAAATTTTTAAATTGTTTTGAACTGAAACATCTTTACGGTAGCAACTTTTAATTTATAAAACAAAAATCTTTTATTTAATGGGAATACATTGAATATGTAATTAGCTTCGTGAAATCTTTTCAAAGGATGCTCAGCTAAAATGCGTCCAGGCTGTATTTTGTTACATGTTGACTTCAGATACGTGTTTCAATTTCAAAGTTTCTCGAAGTAAAAAAGGAAAATGTTGTGAAATTCTTTTATCACTTTAAGCAAAAGAATTCCGAACCTACAAAATCTAACATTTTATAAGTTCATCGTACAGCAAAAACTATATTGATAAACTCTTCATTATAATTCTATAGATGAAGTACAACAAGTTCCATATCTATGATTGCAAAATATTCGTGAAAAGAATTTTCTGAATTAGCTCATTTTCCAGTCCATATTTATGATTGAAACTCCGAAGTTCTTGACAAAATTCAGTGTTCATGAAGCGAAAAGTATTAATTTTATTTATATTTTCTTTAAAGATAACACTTTTTGAAATTGGTCACTTTCTGAAAATATAAATTTAAAATGCAAGTTTCTACCCAAAACTATTTGTAAATATATGAACCTTTTCATATTACACTTATGAGGTATTTCTCCCGCCATGCTAGCGTGCTTTCCTGGTGTAGTGGTTCTGCATGCTGGGCCGATACCCTAGAGGTCCGTGGTTCGATTCCCGGCGAAGGCGATTGCTCATATTTCATGACTCCTCCTTGCAAAAAATACCTAATGTCTCTACAGAGTGATTAGAGGTAGATGTATACATACATACGCACGTAGAAGACGTCACAAAAGTAGTACCTCATGACTCTACACACTATTAAAATGCAGTGAACATACTACTGATTGGAATTATTCATCCACACTGACCATGAAAAAGATTTTATTTTTTTTTACAGTTCCTCCACTCACGCTATAGCTATAGTTCCCTTAAAATTCTCTACCTTAATTTCAGAAACTAAAGTAGAGATCTGGCATATAATAATTGGAAGTTTACTTACATGTGTAAACTCAATATTTAAAGAAATAAAACGTGCAGTTTTACGAACTTTTACGAACTCCATGTGCAGTCTTTCTGTTTCTTGCCGAATGGGTTAAAAGTAGAAAAAAATAATTGGTCTTCATTTAACTTCTTGAAAAATGTTTTCTTTTGATAAAAATGAGCTTCTGAACGAAAGAATGCTCTTTTAAATTTCAAAACTGATTAGTTATTCAACAAATAAAAATTTATAGTATTAAAAAATGATTAACTTAACTGAAATTATAATCGAAAATTTCCCAACTGAAGTTCCTTCTTAAAGGCATCGAATGAACGCGTGGTTTAGCACGAATACAGGATTTCTTTGGAAACATGAAACGAAAGCTACATGATAGTATCTGAAATCTGCCTCTTTTTA